AGAGAGAGAGAGAGTTCTAGAGAGAGAGAGAGAGTTCTAGAGAGAGAGAGAGAGATGGAGAGAGCGAGAGATGGAGAGAGCGAGATGGAGAGAGAGAGAGGTGGAGAGAGAAAGAGATCGATTATATATATATATATATAAGAGAGAGATCACACATCAAATACACTCCCCCGCACACATAAAATAATACTGGAGTATCTAGGCCTTCTCCTGGATACTGCTCTGTCCAGGGTCATCCATTCACAGAAATGTTTGGACTCCACAGTGTTCTGGGCTTAATGGTAGCCTCTTTTTGAAGCAGTTCCATATTCCCAACTTGGCATTCTGGCTGCTTGAGACAAGCAGGCTTAGTCTCTGGACTATCCCATGTTCTGACCCCAAGACCAGGCTTGCCCTGGCCTGGTGGATCACAAGTCCAGAGCTGGAATTGGGGAAATCCTTCCTCCTGCTAGTCTGAAGGTTCTGGTGATTGATGCCAGCCTGTCAGGCTGAGGAGGAATCCTGGAAACCCTCAGTGAAAGGGACTTGGTTGCTGGAGGAAGGTTGTCTCCTGATCAACATTCTGGAGCTCAGAGTGATTTGGTTTTCTATTCAATGCAGAACCTCTTGACTGTAAGGTCATTTTGACCAGGATTCAGCCAGAAAATGCCATGGCAGTGGCTTACGTCAACCATCAGGGAGGAACCAGAAGTCTCACAGCTCAAACAGAAGCAGATCAGATTCTGGCTTGGGCAGAACTTCACTAGCCCTGTCCGCCATGCACATTTCAGGTGTGGAAAATTGACAACTACCTCAGTCAGCAATGTCTAGAAAATGTTCTCTTCACTCGGAGGTGTTTCAAGACCTCTGTTTCAGGTGGAGAGCGCCCCCCGATGTGGACCTCCTGGCTTCTGGGTTTATCAACAAATTAGCCAAGTGTTGTGTGTGGGCGGAGACAGCCTGCGCTGTCACAGGAGGCTGATCTCTCCTCCCTGCCCCACTCGTACAGCCTCCTGTGACAGCGTGTCAGAGAGAAGAGCGGTACAAACAGCCAGTGATCAGTGATCGCTGAGTATTTGTACATAATTGAGGACATAGTATGGTTAATATATCCTCAATTATGAATGAATGGAAGTGATCTACATCCCCTCCTGTTCATTCATAGTCATAGTTATAGTAAACATACTCTGTCCTCATGTTATGAATGAAGAGGAAAACTCATAGATGATTCCTGTTCATTGATAACAGGGGATAGAGGACTTTGTGTCCTCAATCTCTTTTTCTATTTTAAAAGGGAAATATCAGGGGTCTGTTTAGACCCCTAATATTTCCCTGAAGCACCTAAAAAAAGTGAAAAATAAAAATATTTAGTAACTAATTAATAAATACAAATATAAAAAAAATTAAAGTTGTTTATAAAAAATAAAGTATTAAAATAAAAAAAAATGTAAATAAACATTTTCGGCCTGACAATTTTTTTTATTTCGGTTTTGAAATTTCCATTTCGGTGCACCTTTTAATACTGGGTTCATGATACAAGGCAAGGAAGTTCCATCTTAGGCTCCATTCACACTTAGGCGTTTTTGTTGCTCAAAGCTAAGCGTGACAAAATGCTCAAGACAAGGAATCCAATTCATTTCTGTGGCCCCTGTTCACTGCAGATTTTTTTTGTCACACACACAAAGTTTCCCATTGAAGTCTAGGGGGACTAGAAGTACTGTAATCTGCCAAAAAAAATAGCTCATGTACTTTTTCCAGCGACGGGAGTTTTTCGGCTTGCAACAAAACGCTCAGGTTATGAGCGGGGGCCATAGAAATAAATAGGATTCCTTGTCTTGAGTGTTTTTGTCGCACTTTTGAGCGACAAAGCGCCTAGGTGTGAACGGAGACTTGGAAAGTACTCTGTTGGACGAATCCTGTCTTTTCTCCTATCTGGTCAGGATCACCATTTGGCCTTGAGTGCCATCAAGGGTCAAATTCCGGACCTTGGGGATTCTCCAGATTGCTTGACTCTGTCTTGGTTAAGGCCTTTATACAGGGTGCCGCTCAAATTGTTCCCCCTGTAGGTTCCTGCAGTGACTCTGAGACCTCCAACCTGATTCTGTTGGTTCTTTAGAAACCATCCTTTGAACCCAACACAGATATTCCTCTGTCTACTGAAACTCACAAGAAGGCCTTCCTCAGTGCCAACACCTCTGCAAGACAAGTTTCCAAGTTGGTGGCGTTAGACTGCGGCCTTACCCCTTTCTTGAGCTCCTTTCACCTTTTATTCAGGACATTGTTCTCCCATCTCTGTCCTGCTCCACAACATCCCAAGAATGGTTTTTCAGCTACAGTTTCCTTTTTAGAAAGTCTGATATTTTGTCATTCCTGTCTTTCTCATTCCACAAGCTCCAGGTGGATTTAGCAGCTCAATATTCAACCCTATAATCTTAAGGACAAGGTTCTATCCCTTCCCTATCAAAGTGCACTTTACTAGATCAGTTAATGCTTCATCAGCTTTTCAGCATCAGCCCTCTGTTTCTCAGAGCTGCAAGGCTGCCACCTGGTCTTCTGTTCATTACGCTTTACCAGTGGATGTTCAGGCCCCATATGATGCTTTACAAAACATGTCAAAATGTGATGCTCCCGGCATTGCTCCATCGTATCTATCCAGATGCCCCCAACACATGTTGGCGATAGGGATGCACCGATACCAAGTACCGTACTCGGTACAAGTACAGATACAGTACTAGAGAAACATTCAAAAGTTAGGAGGCATCTGTCATTTGTAAGGAGCACACTGAGCTCCTGGGATTTGTACGTCTGTTTTTAATGTATGATTTTGTTTTTATAAATGGATGTACCAATACCATTTTTTTCAAGTATTGATACTTGCCCAAGTACTCAGTTACAAGTACTGATGCATTTTTGTTTATTGTCATGTGACAGTTTTTCTAAAACAATACAGACTAATGATTTCAGGACAGTGGTGGTGCACCAGAGCCAGGTCCCAGTTGCAATCTCTGCAACCCTGGTAGTTCTCATGAAAATGCCAAGTATTGGCACTGGTATCTGGACATCCCTAGTTGGCGATGCACTCAGGCTGTCGGTACACTCCTTCACGTTAGGTGGTCATGCCCACTTATCTCATCCTTTTGGACGGAGGTACATACTCATTAGAACCATAACTGGTATTTCGTTAGAGTTCTCCCCAGCCTCCCTCTTATTTATATCATTTTGATGAAGTCCACCACATCGCCAAGAAATCTCTCCCACTACACCTGCTGAATGCAGCGAAAACAGTAATCCCTAGACATTGGAAGTCACCCTATCCACCGACCGTCCGGGAGTGGCTGTCTCGACTGGATACGGTGTCGACCATGGAGCAACTCCTCTTTTCCTGTAAGGATGATATGCCCAGCTACCTAAAAACCTAGATGGCATGGCACCTGTTCAAGGACACGGACGCGTATGTTGCTTTTGCTCAGTAACTGCTTACTTTTTCTCTTTTTTTTTTTTCTTTCTGTCCTTACCCCTTTTCTCTTTCAAAGGGAAGCCCAGACGGGACAGTCTCCTTTCACTTACCTCTTATACTTGTATGATCCTCTCGCATCAACTCGCAGCACTTATCAGACAGATATAAAAAAAACTCTTTCAATGGTATCTTTAACAGTCCAAAAAGTTAGCAAATAAGAGAAGTTCATTAAAGGGGGTTTCATACACTTTTTAAAATGAGCCACCTCTAGGTACCTTACTTTTGTTTTGTTTTAGGCATTGTACAGGCACTTATGGTACTTTGCACTTGCATTATATTTTAATACCTTTTAATCCCGACTCTTATAAAGCACTCATAGATTATGGGAGTTGTAAGCAAATAAAAGCATTCTTCTAAACAAAGGCAGATATGTTTTATTTGTGTGTGTGTGTGTGTGTGTGGGGGGGGGTTCTGCTTTACACGATTGCTATATATGATTCATTGCTGGTTTATTTGCAAGTTAAATAGATTTAAAGACTTGTCTCCTGCTTGTGGTTTTTGATTTGTATGCATACTTGTGGCTTTGAAATAAATATCTGATGGTGCTGCATGATCTAACACTTGTTACCTCACAGACATCAGATTAGCCATCTATACAGATCTCTTGCAGATTGTGATTGCTCCATCCATAAGTGTACCCTAAAAGACCTACACAAAGTTGCCATGTTGCTTCTTCTTGCATAGTTGTCTTCTAATATAGTTGCCTTGTAAAAAGTAAGGAATATGATTGAAAGGTTAAGTGGAAAGGAAGTATACATTACAAGAAGCAGAAGTGCTAGATAAGTGTGAGGCAATTTGAGGTCTCGAAAGAAAGGTGCTGGTTGAGTAAGCATGAACATGACTGACGGTCATAGCATGGTTTTGTTTTGCCTTAGACAGTAACCTTATTACTTCTAATACTTTGGCAAGACACTCTAAAGGCTTTTCATTGGGAACATAACTAATCTCAATTTGCAGCCAGGAAAAGACCAGAGGCTGCAGCAACATCTTAACTACTGAACAGGAAGTTATCTGCGGCTTTCCTCATGTTCAACAAACATGTCGGGTATACATGCTTCCATTTTCTTTGTTCAACTTGCCGACTCAATTAAGAAAATAGAACAGATTCCTCCAACAATGCTTATGAGCGTTGATCGAGGAATCTCCTGCCGTTTCCTTTTGTATTCTGAAAGCGACCGCCATAGCTGGCATGCTCCTCATGAATATGTGCAGTGTTTTGGGTTGTGGTAGACATGGAGTTTGGTCTGTTGGCCTTGAAGCTCCGTTTTGATCTCATTGGACCATAGAACATTATTCCAGATTGAGGGATGCCGGTTGTAAAGGTGCTGACAGCGGCACCCATGCATCGAATTTCAGCCAGTTCATGAAAAACAAGCCAAAGTATAGCCGGCTTTAGACAGTTGTCACCAGAAGCTTTACCACTTATCGTTCAGTCTGATTGTTTGACTAATACTACTGCTATCTGAAAATCTATTTAGCGCCTATAAAAAATACTCACCCTATCGGTTTTCATGCTTTGTGGTCAGAACATTAAATTAGTGGATAAAATATTTTTTGGACAATGATCTGATCAACAGAAATGGGCCATTTCATGACACTAAAAATGATCTCTGCAAAGTAATTTTACATTATTTACAATTGAAAAAACACAGAATAACTTTTTCCATAGGTATACAGCTCAATGTTTGTGTTTTAGTAGAGAAAGCTCTGAAACAATTGCAGCCTTGAGTCTGTGTGGATAGGTCTTGATCAGCTTTCCCTTTTAACAGAATTGTTATGGCTCTCTCAGGTTGCATGGGAATTGTAAGTAAATTGCTGTTTTCAGGTCCAGCCTCAACTTCTTTAATGCACTGAGATCTGGACTTTGACTTGGCCATTTCAGAACAATAACGCTGTTTGTCTTCCAGCAAGGCAATCTTGTCCCTGGACTGCATCAAATTTTGATCCAGATTTTTCTATGTTTCACTGCATTCATTATACCCTCAAAACCTTCCAAGGCCTATTGCTAAAAAGCATCACCATAGCATGTTGCAGCCACCATGTGTCACATTAGGTATGGTATATTCATGAATAGGTGCAGTGTTTTCGTATGGTATATTCATAAATATGTGCACTGTTTTGGGTTATGGTAAACATGGAGTTTGGTCTGTTGGCCTCAAAGTTTCCTTTTGGTCTCATTGGACCATAGAAAACATTATTCCAGTTGACCTCAGAGTCTCTTGTACTCGCCTGTAGGCATAACGCCATGTGAGTTTAAGTTAAAATCAGTTTCTTTCTGCCACTCTCCCCAAAAAAAACTGTGATGGGTGAAGCACCCAGGCAAAAGTTGTATGCATAGTATCTCCAATCTCAGCCACTGAGGCCTGTACCCCTCCTAGAGTTTCGCAGCAGTTGAAAATCAAACCAATAGGAAAAAATTGCAGAAAATTAAAAAATGGCTTGGCCAGCTGATTTGAAAAATGTTCCGGGATCTGCATGGTTAATACTGTCTATGGCAGGAACAATAAACAATGATGAGCCATTCTTCATGGCAACCAGTCAAATGGTTTATTTAGAGTCTGAAAATATAAAACACCTACTGTATTTTTCCGTGTATAAGACTATACTTTATCATTAAAATATTTACCTAAAAATGGAGGGGCGTCTTATACACGGGGGGCCAAGAGGAGAACCGCAGTTGCGAAACTGCCGATACCTCTGCAAACTAGCCTCGCGAGTGAAACTTCGATTGCAGAGACAAGCTAACCGGTTTCCTCCAACCATGACCCTTATGTACCCGACGTCAGCTGAGGCTGCGGAGAGCCTGTAGCCAGTGCCCAGATGCAACAGGGAGCGGTAATGTCGGAGCATTCTGAGCCCATAAAATGTCAGAAAACAAACAAAATCCCGGTAAATACCAATACCAGGTTACGGCTGTCTTACTCTGCAAAATTTAAACTGGATACAATCAGTTATGCAAAAGAGCATGGAAAATATTGATTTCAGAATTTTGGGTAAGAAAAGTGGAGGGCGTCCTATACATGGGGGCGTCTTATAGACGGAAAAATACGGTAATCTGGTTTCTGCTGAGAACAGCATTGCTTCTTATCCAAATGTATCTGCAGGTTATTGTCAATATGCCAGTGTCCTATAGTAACATGCTTCTATTTTAAAGGGTGAAGCTACATGCAAAAACATCCAAGCTGAGGAATACCTGGAATGTTCAGCCAAATTTCAGGAGAATGTAGATAATGTCTTCAGGGAAGCCACACTCATTGCACTGAATGGCATGAAGAAGGAACAGAAGATGAAAAAGAAGCACAAGAGCTGCTTGCTTCTCTAAGACTGCACTGCCTTTCTACCTGCCACCTCCTGACTTCCCAGGACGGTCATTTTAAAAGTACCTGGACTCCTTTTATTGTAAATACATTTTTGTTTTAATTATTCTATGGGTATTTTATAATTCAAGCCCAGTCTGCTGTTGACTCATTGTGAAACATTTTACCTTGAAGACTAAGTAAAGTTTGCTGAATAAGTTCAGGCAGTGGTTTCCTATGCAGGGAGATGGATGTTGTCTTCACATCTATTCTTCTTGCCTGCTGGAAACCACATTGCTTACCAAGGCTGAGGCTCTCTGGCTGGCTGGAGTAAACCCAACGCCTTTTATGCCCATGACCGCAGGACGGGCTAAGTACAAGTGCTAGCAACCATGGCATAATGCTGTAAATGGCAGAGGAAAATTTACCATACCACAAATAAAGATCATGCCTGAAGCTAATTTTTTTTGGTTAAATATGAATCACCATTTACAACACAAACACCAAAACAATTTTTTACATAAGTCGATTATTTACAGTTTTGCATACCTTCATTTTTTTACCTTTTCGCAAAAAGGCGCAATTACAAATTTGCTAATATTTGTTATTTATTAACTCAATACAGTTTTATCTTTTAGATTTAGTCAGAAAATAATTTTTTTTGTGCACGGATACTGATTTTAGTGTGTTTTATCAATTGAATTGTGTATTTTTATCGGTTTAATATTAATTTGAGAAACATTTGCACAATTATCGCACGGCCTACAAATTTAGTATCACCATCTTTTTATTCTACCGGGCCTGCGCTTTCAGAAAATATATGGTTTGGGGGGTCTTTTACAAACGCTAGCAACGCAGCAGTTGAAAATCAAACCAATAGGAAAAAATTGCAGAAAATTAAAAAATGGCTTGGCCAGCTGATTTGAAAAATGTTCCGGGATCTGCATGGTTAATACTGTCTATGGCAGGAACAATAAACAATGATGAGCCATTCTTCATGGCAACCAGTCAAATGGTTTATTTAGAGTCTGAAAATATAAAACACCTACTGTATTTTTCCGTGTATAAGACTATACTTTATCATTAAAATATTTACCTAAAAATGGAGGGGCGTCTTATACACGGGGGGCCAAGAGGAGAACCGCAGTTGCGAAACTGCCGATACCTCTGCAAACTAGCCTCGCGAGTGAAACTTCGATTGCAGAGACAAGCTAACCGGTTTCCTCCAATCATGAGCCTTATGTACCCGACGTCAGCTGAGGCTGCGGAGAGCCTGTAGCCAGTGCCCAGATGCAACAGGGAGCGGTAATGTCGGAGCATTCTGAGCCCATAAAATGTCAGAAAACAAACAAAATCCCGGTAAATACCAATACCAGGTTACGGCTGTCTTACTCTGCAAAATTTAAACTGGATACAATCAGTTATGCAAAAGAGCATGGAAAATATTGATTTCAGAATTTTGGGTAAGAAAAGTGGAGGGCGTCCTATACATGGGGGCGTCTTATAGACGGAAAAATACGGTAATCTGGTTTCTGCTGAGAACAGCATTGCTTCTTATCCAAATGTATCTGCAGGTTATTGTCAATATGCCAGTGTCCTATAGTAACATGCTTCTATTTTAAAGGGTGAAGCTACATGCAAAAACATCCAAGCTGAGGAATACCTGGAATGTTCAGCCAAATTTCAGGAGAATGTAGATAATGTCTTCAGGGAAGCCACACTCATTGCACTGAATGGCATGAAGAAGGAACAGAAGATGAAAAAGAAGCACAAGAGCTGCTTGCTTCTCTAAGACTGCACTGCCTTTCTACCTGCCACCTCCTGACTTCCCAGGACGGTCATTTTAAAAGTACCTGGACTCCTTTTATTGTAAATACATTTTTGTTTTAATTATTCTATGGGTATTTTATAATTCAAGCCCAGTCTGCTGTTGACTCATTGTGAAACATTTTACCTTGAAGACTAAGTAAAGTTTGCTGAATAAGTTCAGGCAGTGGTTTCCTATGCAGGGAGATGGATGTTGTCTTCACATCTATTCTTCTTGCCTGCTGGAAACCACATTGCTTACCAAGGCTGAGGCTCTCTGGCTGGCTGGAGTAAACCCAACGCCTTTTATGCCCATGACCGCAGGACGGGCTAAGTACAAGTGCTAGCAACCATGGCATAATGCTGTAAATGGCAGAGGAAAATTTACCATACCACAAATAAAGATCATGCCTGAAGCTAATTTTTTTTGGTTAAATATGAATCACCATTTATTTATAAGGGGAGTCTTGTATGTATGTATGTATGTATAAAAAAAAAAGTGTTCAGCCTCTCCGTTTTCAAACCTAATAGGGAAATGTGGAGGTATTTCTTCAGATACTTTGGCAAATATTTTATATTTAATGAATCTACCCAAAACTAATATTTCAGTGTTTGTGAGTCCCCAGGGACTTAAGGGGGTCTTCTGCATCTTTGGTGGCCTATTGGAGGAGTTTAAAATCATCCACAGGAATATGCAAAACTTCAAGGTGGGAGGTAAGAGAGCCTGGAACCACGGCAGGGAAATCTCACAGTCCCAAGAGAGCAAAGAAGCATAAAATAACTTTTCGGTTTCAATATTTTTTTATTAACATTTTATAAAAGGTGTACCATAGGACTTCTGTAATTGAAGCAGTGAGCTTTTGTTGTCTGGTTGCTCCTTGTAAGTGTGCTTTTCCCCAGCACATTGAAACGATGGTACAGCGCAACACCATTTTGTGCTGCACATCTTATGCATACATAAAACATCACTAAAACTTTTTGGGTAAACTCATTTCCGAAACACTTTTTGTCTAAAAAATGAAGGTAACACAAATAGACATGCTTTAATTGTAACAACCACATTCATGGTGACTCAACGGGAATGCAAGATTTCCCATACGTCTCGGATGCTGTGGCCCAGTACTATGGAAATTCATGATACGATGGGCAGCTAAAACTACTGTTGCGGTCACTGCAGATCATAAAAGTAGCAGCTAGACGTGTGGTACATTGCGACACTGATAAGGATGAATGCAATTTTTCATTCTTACTGACATTTGAGACCAATAGATAGTTACATAGTATTTGAGGTTGAATAAAAGACATAAGTCCATCAAATCCAACCTATTGTTGTAGATATGTACTCCAATAATAAACAATTGGAAGGGAATTGTTCAAGGGCTATACAGAGACATTGATGTGGCTCTCAATACTTTTGTGTTCTCCTGAATAGTATAGGTCAGGGTTAAGTAAACTCCAGCCCTCCAGCTGTGGTACAACTACAAATCCCATTATGTATTGCAAGATTAAGCACCACAGGCATGACTCCGTGGCAGATGCATGCTGGTATTTGTAGGGTCACCACAGCTGGAGGGCCAGAATTTGGAAATGATCACCTACCAGGGGTTGGCAAAGCTGTCCAATTTGCAAAGACCATCCACAATGATAGTCAGACTAGGCCACAAAGAGCAGGGAAGTCACAAGAGAACAAGTGGATTTATTAAAAGAAACTTTGGCTGTTCACTGAAACTGCTATCTATGCTAATCATCTGATCATGTTCAAGCAAAAATCCTGTGTTTTAACCAAACAAATTTTTTTTAAAATAAATCAATGCTACAATATGGTTCTTTGTTATCCATGCGTGCTTCAAACCTCTGGGCTGCCGTTTCTTTAAAATCTTCAGCGTTCAGAATGCTGGGGTGAACTTCCATCCTCCGTGTTCCATGGAGTTGCTCCTGTGCTAAGACTACAGAAGTACGTAAGAATACAACCTGCCTGACATGTACAGGACTGTCTACATTTGATTGGCAGCGGCTCGCATGTGCTGGATTGCTGTGATTGGCTGAGATCTCTCATTCATATTGAAGGTTTTTTTTCCCCCAACAAGCTTTATGTCTTATGTACATGGAATAGCCTATGAAGTAATGTGTATGATGGCTCCAGCCTTTTTTTTTTAAACAAGCATTATGCTTAATGCGTATAGATTGTGGAGCAATGTAACATTTACATTGCTGCAGTCTTTCTTTTATCAAACTTTATGTATGCATTTTGAGCTCTGAAGATTTTAAAGAAACAGCAGCCCAGAGGTCAGAAGCAAGCATGGATAACAGTAAGAACCATATTGTAGCATTGATTTACAAACATGGGAGGGTTTAAAAGAACTATGGGGTCAGTGGTTTTCCCAATAATTCTAAAGGGTCACAGGAGGACACAAACTAGCATCCTCCCGTGACCCAAAGCTCAGTATACCGCAAGCTACAGCTCGCCGTATACTGAGACGGATCCCGACATTACTGTCGAGATCCACCCAGCTGCATAATTGATCCGTTCTGCCAGTCAGCGCTGGAGGATCGGGCGGGTAGGGGCGGAAATCCCTGCAGGGAGCCGTGAGTGACAGTCACAGATCTCTGCAGGGAGATGATTGAGAAGTGAGCAAGTGCCGGTATGCGTTCGCTCACTTCCCGATCTATTGAGCCGACCTGTGACAGTTTCATTGTCACACACCGGCTCGAACTAATGAGGATGAGTGATTTCTCATAGTTATCCTTTTAATATCACTTTGCAAGGTGAACATACTTCTACACACCTTTTTAATAAAACAAAAATGTCCGAATCATCTGTGTACCTATAAATTAAAGTTGAGCAAGGTTTTTCCTGCTCTGTGTGACATTTTCAAGAACTGGCATGTGTAAAACATTTTTTTGAAATGCTAAATGCAGCTACTCCTGTATCCTTCTAGACAGTGTTGTGGGGCTTTACAGAATTTCCCTCAAGCTGTTGAAGATAAAGCAATGTGCTCTAAAGCTAAAGGGCTGTCAGCTGAGATGTCAAGGTTACCAAGGCTCCCAACATCTTAGAGGCTACTGCAGCAGCAAGGGTGGCAATGCTGCAGATGGAATATGGTCTTACATCACATACAATTTTATGGTTTGACCATAGTTCTATGTTCAGAGAATAAAAGCAGATCTTTACCGCTATTTACTAAATAATAAACCCAAATAATGCTACAGAGTGAAACCTAAGTGGCTGCCAAGTACCATTGCACATCATTTACACTTTGCATTTTTTTTTATGCAGCTACAGTGGGGCAAAAAAGTATTGTCAGCCACCAATTGTGCAAGTTCTCCCACTTAAAAAGATGAGAGAGGCCTGTAATTGGCATCATAGGTAGACCTCAACTATGAGAGACAAAATGAGAAAACAAATCCAGACAAATCACATTGGCTGATTTGGAACAAATTTATTTGCAAATTATGGTGGAAAATAAGTATTTGGTCACCTACAA